GTAGTCGATAACCTGCTGGAAGTGCAGCAGCCCACTCCGACGTTTTCAAAACCATAAGAAGTGAATTTTGTCATGCCTTAAAATGAACGGTAGCACTTGAACACTTTAACTGAAGTCCGTCGAACTTAAGTAATGTAAACCTTTGCGTGGTGTTCGAGACACATTTATCTTGGCGAATTTAAGCCTTTTGGTCTGTTGTATAGCTCAAGTGCTGAAGTAAATTAATTTCCGATTTGAGTTGAAAACGTTGGTTTGGGATATGAGCAGAAATTATCTGAATTACCAGCTCAAATATTAGAGCTCCTTCGTGTAAAGGCGCGACACTGTGATAATATGTGTTTCGAGCGGCCGCCGTGTATCAGGTTCGAAATTCCGTAGAAGCACGGTTGAGTTTGAAGCACTCTAATGTTGCCTTTTCTGCCAAAAAGCCCTCCCGTTTTTTTGGTTCTCACCTCAGGAAGAATGGTCCTTTAAGGGCCCGGTATAAAGTAAACTCGTTCCGAGAATAGCAGAAGGGATTGGGATGGATCAGAACCACTTTCAGGTCAGAGTACGTGTATTCTGGATTTGGCTCCGAGACAAGTGTCAGGTCAGGACGAGCTCTCAGTGTTTGAAGCCGGTGTACAAGTACGTGAAATCCAATGCAGTGTATGAAAGCAGAACACTATCTCATTTCCGCTCCACTCTCCTCCAGCTCAATGGACTCACACGACTTAAGACCTGCTCACACCGACCAACCCACGCTCCACGATGGAATTGGTCGGCTTCCGATATTGCCATCCATTTTGACGAGCTGACTTACTGCCTGATAATGTGTGAACCATGAAAGCAGCACACAGAGTGGGCACTTGGAGCGAAATATGCTGTGGCAGAGACAGCAAACTCGTTCCGACTTCAGAACACCTCCACAAGGTGTTCTGAGAACCCCACACAGAACGGTTTAAACTCGGAACGCGTACCGAGAGTCGCTCTGCTCTCAGCCAATCAAAAGGCAGAATTTTCAGAGCGAGTTTCGGTTTTTTCTACTTAGACCAGGGCCTTAATAACAGTGCGGAAATCGTGATGAACGTACCCACATTACCGTACACATAAACCAAATACAGTACTTAGTATTGCGCTTTGCAGATGGAATGTCCATCCGTTTTATAGCCTAGATCGAGCACTAGCCGGCCTCTGCCGCTACGCGGCGGAGTGTCATGGTTTGTTGGAGATGAGGTGGCCGCAAATTTAGTGCTTCTTGGTGTCGCGTGTTTTGTGAGCGTGGCTCACAGTAGATCTTGGCATCGTGTATTTATCCACTTGCATTTCCGTAGTCTCATTCGGCCCCGTATAATATCGTGGGGTTTGAAACGTTTCCGTTACCCCGTACTACAGGTTGGATGTTGTTTTCTTCAATGGCCCATGCTCTTTCGTGCTCTTCCCGGCTTCGTGGTTCCTGCTCACCCGTGGCCCACGCTGCTCAGCGGTTATGCGCTCTCTCTTGTGGGTTCATGCTCTTTAGTACGGCCTTTTCGTAACTGCTAACTTTTCTCTGTTCTCAAACGTTTACGTGGGATGCACCCGTTTCGTGGTATATACTATTTTGCGGCCGCTGGTCTCCCATCGCCGATTCTCTAGCCGAAGGGTGCTATTCCGTAGTTCGGTGCCTCCACGCAGTCTTGTTGTTCCATCATCCGTGTATCGTGCTCTCCTGGTGAGGTATAATCGACCGTGTTCTCGCGCTATCATGCAACCGCGGGATGGTTGTGATGTCCTATGCTATCGTATTCGCACATTTTATCTGCGTTTTCCGTATATAATCGTGATCTACAATGGCTTCGTGCTCCGTGGTGTGCAATCGTGGTCACCCCAAGCCCCCCCCCCGGTGTATTTCGTGGCTGGCCCGCCATCCGTGCTATCGAGTTCTAATGTACTACTGTCCTCCGTGGCTCGGTAAGCTCAGGTTTTACACTACTATCGTGTTACGTGACTCGGGGAGCCCAGGCTCTACACTGGTATCGTGCTCCGTGGCTCGGGAATTTCGCGTGACTGTGTGTTCTCCGATGGTTAGTGGCTAACCCACCGTTCATGCTGTCGTGTTACAGCGTGGTGTTGAGGTTGGTCAGTCGTCCAAGCTATCGTGAGCTACCGTAGTATCGTGTGCCGTGACTCGGTGAGCTCCGGGCTGCCCTGGTATCGTACTCCAACGCTCAGTGATTTTCCGCTTATGCTCTCCCGTGCCGTCGACCGTGCTTCGTGGTAACCCGTGGTTGAAAAACTCCTTTCCGTGCACTCGCACAGCTACGTCTACCGTGAATGTGACCGTGTGCACTCTTCCTTGGCCCGTGCTTTTTCGGCATGTAGGCGTGTCGCTATTTCAGCTCTCACCCGCTGTCGTCTGTTCGCATCGCTCTGTATTTTTCATGCCTGTGCGCTCTTCTGTGGTTTGTGCTTCGCATGAAATTTCGTGGCCTCTCCTTTTATCGTCCGCGGCCTTCCGTATTTCAAGTTGTTCCTTCCATCGCATCATGTACATAGTCTGACTCGGTGTTCCTCCGTGTTTCGTGTTCTTGTTAAATCACTGCCTCTACGCTAATTCAATCACAAGCATTGCTCCTAGTGCACTGCATATACGCTACGTTTCGTGTTGGAAAATGCGCACATTCTATAAGGGTCGTACAGTATTTGCAAATACAAAGGAAAACGTTCTTTTTTCGCGCCGGTGGAGGGGTGTACATGGTTATATGGGGTGGGATGGTGGGAAACCACTATATTCACATTTTTATTATTTAACATTAGTAAAAAATTATGCATCTTTATCTAACACAAATACAATACAATAGTTTAAGGTAATTAGTATTAGTAATAAAGTGCATTTACTTTATCAAGCGCTATGAAATGAGAATGTATAGTACTGCTACAAACGTCTGTTAGCAATAGTATGAACTGCTTTAGAATAGTACTAAGCAGACAATTATTGTAAGTTAAATTATTACAAACATGCTACAAAGCTAAAATAAACCATATTATATCCAATAAGTACTAACGCTCCAATTTAGGCCGAAATTTAGGTCACCAGGGCCTACAAAAAATTATACAGCTCTTACGACGATATAGTATGTGTGTGCACGTCGGTGCCTCCTATTAATGCTAATTAACGCGCGCACAGGCAGCATCCTTTGTGTGGCCTTGTAAACCGCAGTTGAAAATGGGGCTAAATGAAATTTAAACGGTGCTGTTAAGTACGATGCGTAGTCCACATACAGTGTGTACAAAACACAATGTCGACTTTAGCCAATGGGGGCCGCCTTCGCTGCACTCGGCAGATTTTTAGCCAATCGAGGCCGCCTTCGTTGCGCTCGGCAGCCAGTAGAATGCCCACATTAGCGTGATTTTTATTAGCCCTGGCCCGTGACAGATATACGGACAGACATTAGACTCCACTAGGGGGGGGGTAGATGGTCGGAGCATAAAACCACGCGTAAAAATGAGATAGGAAGAGGCAGGCATCGATTTGTTTAATCTGGGATCGAATTACCATTTCAATACGGCAAAAAGGGTCGATTTACAGGATATTGATGTGGATTTGGTGGTTGAGGACGCCGAGCAGTCGATTTGACTGCTGTAGCTCCATGTGCAGACAGCGACGGTGAAAACCGCCATCCTTTGAGCGCCATCCTCCATATTAATTTTATTTCTCGACAGGAAAATCCGTCGCACCATTTTATTGGTAGATAAAACGAATTAATTAGCAAAAAGCAAAGTGGAAATTATATTTCAACTGTCGGGTACATTGGAATAGCTTTCCGGAAACTTTTCGCTACGACTTCTTCTGAAAGCTCCCCTGACGCCTCGATCGTCCGTTGTATTGTAGCAAGGCGTTCTTTGGCCGCCTTGTTCTCTGCCTTAGATTCATTCATGACCTCGTTGTCCGTGCTTGCAGTGTTCGATCCGCTCGCGCCGCTATCGTCTTCGTTTGGTGTCATGCAGACGCACTCCTGCAGACACCAGCACTTTCCATCGCATATACACTCGTCCCAGCAGATGCATTCCTCCCACCACGTGCACGTTTCCAGCGTTCCACACTTGCTACAATATACTGATGCTGTGTCATTCGCCGACTCTTCAGTAGTTTCAGCCACATAGTTCGTCTCAGCGCTGGTGTCTGACAGCCACTTTCCCGTAATTTTCTTTTTTAAAGGTCCCATGACCCCAACGTCTAGTGGCAGGCAGACGCTGTACTGTTGGGCGATAGTTGGCAAACCAGGGCCGACGTTGTCTCGGCAACAAGATCAAGTCCTTCTTTTAAAACATGTGCGTCGAAGTTATCGAGTATAAGCACTGACGGTGCCTCGATCTCGAACTTGAGCAGCTCTTGTACATATATCGCCCACACTTTGGCATCCATCCAACCGTTCTCCTGCACTGAGTATACATGACCAACCGAATATGTTGGTAGCTCCTCCTTTTCGATAGATCCACCTGACTTCGCACGCAAAATAAAAAGAATCGGAAGTTTCTTTCCTTTACACATTTATTAAATTTAGTAAAAATATAAAGGGAATAAAAAATACGAACCGTCAGCACGAGCTGTTATAACAGCAGTCAATCGGCCGGGGTGTTTTTGGGTCCGCTTAACCTTAGCTGATCCTTTCCGACCTTTCAATGCCCAAATTTTTAAAGATGGCATATCGAAATACACTGCTGTTTCATCGACGTTGTAAATTGCGTCTAGCGGAAATGATCCATATTTTTTTTCATCCCAAAACTTCACAGCAAACTGCTAATACGTTTCGATCATTTCGGCTTGATTATTTTTTTGCGAACTGTGGCTTTTGCACTGTAAATCCATGACTATCACACTATTTAATAAAGTAATTTTATAAAATCAACAAAATCAAAAGATATTACCGTGCTGCAAACCGCTGACATAGTCTCATTAACGCACTTAGACCCTTCTCATCGCTTTCCTTACCAGCAAGATACGTTTGAAGCCATCGCGGTTGCTGCTCTCTGAAATATTGAATCATTAAACCTGTACATAAATACTAAGAAACAAGCGCTTGTAGGTCACAATGCAAAAAACTAATGACAAGACGGTTTACCCCTTCTTCTCGCCGCACATCCTTCATAAAGGTCACCAAATCGTGTGAGAAGGGTATGAACGGCGCTGCGCCCTGGTCCTTCAAGGTTTTGCTGGTTTGGGCATCTGCAAAGTCTTCGATGTTCTCCTTATCGTCTAGCCAGTCGCGAAGAGTCGTGCGAGGGATATTTAGTTTCTTTGATGCGGCTTGGCAGCTTCCTAACGCTTCAGCAGTCGCGATTGCTTCGCGCTTGGTAAGAATTGTATAGGAGCGCTGAGGCGCCATTTCCAAAATGATAGAATTTTTTTACTGTACATGTAATGCTGCCCGTAGGAACCAGTCGATTCCTTTTACTCAATCATTGGCTAAAATAAAACCTTCTTCAAATATTTTATTTATAGCTTCAAGTGCTCGTGGCGGATTTATATGGTATGGCGGATTTCACCGTCGTTGTACAATACATGTACAGGTGTTGTGCATTTCAATGCTTTTGTCCTTTTCACTTAGCCTGATGCTCGATTTATAATAGCAGCGGTTGTTTTATTAGATCGAGATCTATAAAAAGTACAAATCGATCTAGCTAGACTGGCTGATAAATCGAGCTACGACAGTCGAATCGACCGCTCGAATTCGATCAACCACCAAATCCACATCGACATCCTGTAGATAGACCCTTTTTGCCGTTTTGATATGTTAATTCGATCACAGATAAAACAAATCGATGCCTGTCTCTTCCCATCTCATTTTTACGCGTGGTTTTATGCTCGGACCAAGCTAGATCTAGGCTATAAAACGGATGGACATTCCATCTGAAAAGCACAATACTACTACTAATATAATAGGATAATATTGATTAAAAGACTACCGTTTACGTAGTACTTCAAGTGCTATTAATACTACTTAAGGTATTATTTCCAGTATAAAATACATTCCTCAAAGAGCTTATTTAAAAGTACAACTGGAGTATTGTTTAAAAATGGTTAGCTACAGGTATTACAGTGTAGATGTCTTTGGAGAAACTTACTCTGTTTAGCTAGGGTTAGTTAAAGTAGGGGTGTCTTCCATATGTTAGACCCTGACGGTTTGCAGAAGAGAGAATGTCACAAACACAATATAATATCTGATCAACACAAGACCATACTGACGAGCACAAGTACAGTGACGAGACGAGATAATAGCAATGCATGTATGGTACATTGTACCGGGTAGTAACCAGACCATTGGGAAAGTTCGGGAAACGTTCTCTGAGGCAAAGCATTGTCCCATACAATAACGATGCCGACTCTGGCCGACAGCAGCCGACACGGTCGTGATTGGTGAAGCATGTAGTATTTCAACCAATTACCAACTTAACTACAACTCGAATTCAATTGGAGGAAAAGGCAGAGAAACAATGGCAGAGAAAGTTTTTAAAACACCAGTCTTCAGAGCGCAACAGAATACTAAGAGAGCGCAGGAGCGTACCTGGGACGTCCTCAGGCGGAGGTTGACGGGGCCCCTCGCCATGGGCAGCAATCCGATGGCAGGAGCGACACACCGTTGGTCTTCTGCAAGGTACGGCAGCACTGAAGAAGCGCAGGAGCGGCGCGCGCGTACCTGGGACGTCTGCAGGCGAGGGGTGGCGGGGCCCCACGCCACGAGCAGCAATCCGATGGCAGCGGCGACACACCGTTGGTCTTCTGCAAAGTACGGCAGCACAGAAGAAGCGGATAAGGTAGGATGGCGCCGTACGTTTCGGGGTTACGATGTTGACTAACGAAATGTGTATTCTGCCAGTGGTTTTGTGGGCTGAAGGGATGAGTTAGCAGCAGAAGAGGGGCAAAGGAAGCTTAGTCTGTTGTTTTCAGTGGAACTTTGCTGTTTTGCCCCTCGACACCTTGCCGCTGGACCATGTAAGCTTGGTGTGCTGTTATACAGCGTGATCCTTGCTGTGTGATGTCGTGGGTAGCAAAGTGTTACGAAGGCTTGGTGGCATGGTAATATATGCAATTGATGTTGTTCTCATCAGCTCTTCTTGTCTGTGCTAAGCATCTGCATACCTGCGGAGACGGCGAAGCGGCCGACGACGTGAGCTTGGAGCATTAGCGGAAGGGCGACGGCGCTCGCGGGGTGTGACCAGCTTCGTCTTCTATGAAGGCTCGACGAGCCTGAGCTCTGCGACGGCGATTGAAAGCCGCGACCATTCCAGGAGGAAGGTTGTCCGCAGGCCCCTCGGTTGCTTCCCAGTCTGTTACATACACGCGCCGTCCACCCCTGATGTAGGAGCTGGTGATACTGCGAACATTCAGCTGCCAAGGTCCCGGTCGGCTCCGTCTCTTCGTTGCTACTGCTGCTATCGCCGTCCCCAAGAGCTTCACGCAGCGTCAACTTCGCCTCGGCTACGCACGGAGGCGGGATCCAGATAACGTCGCTGTCGCTGTCGGCGGTGTCATTACTCGAGGGTGTCGGCTCTTTTTGTTCGGCCGTTGAGCCTGCGTCTAAATGCTCTTCCTCGAGTGCATTTTCTGCTCCCATCGGCGCTGTTTTCTCCTCAGCTGTGTCACTCGACTCGCGCGGTAGGCCTGGCCATGCTCTGACGTGGCAGCCTTCGATGCGGTGCCTTCCACCTTGGAGAAGGGCGGTGAACGCTTCGGAAAGTAGACTTGTCAGCTCGCTGGAGTTTGATTCAGCCTGGGGAAGCTTGAGTCTCAGGAGGCGAATGGCTTCGTCCATGAATTTTATACGAGGATAATGTTGTTTATTAAAAGCTCTAACTGCTCCTGTAAAAAGTCTACGACTAAGTGATGGCATCTTCTAGCTGCAAATTGGACAGCGAATAAATTATAAAACCAACGATCCAGTAGCTGAGTGCCCATTTTCAGCTCGGTCACATTTTAAAAAAAAAGAATGAAGTCAAACGTTTTCACACATCTCAATCACAAAAAATATTTTCAGAATCTGTATTTTACTTGCTGCTTAAGAGTTCATGCGTTTCAAGAAGGCTGCTGAGCCCGGTGGCTAGTATGGCTGCTATCAGTCGGTTCAAAGCGTTTACCATACAGAACGAAGGTAATACCATTAAAGTGAAGCTCTGGTGATGTATTAATAAAACATGAAGCTGCCTTCTAACTGTTTACTCTTTATGTAGTGCATGTCCAGCATTGATCTGTCGTCCAGGACCACGCTTGTTGCCCGCATCTTCATCTCGCGCTTGCGGGAACGGTTAAACATGAGTCCTCGCCCGCTCCATCCAGATAGTTACGTAGGCGCAGGGCGAAAATCCTATGAACACAGCAGTTCATTTTAGCGTGGTATCGACAGGGACAATAGCCCGTCTTGATATTAACCGGACACCCCGTGCCTGGTTGCTCATCCATCTCAATCCGAGCATGACTGACCGAAAATCTAGCGGCCACATAAAGAGCTTCCTACGAGCGGCCTCGGGCTGGAATGTAGAAGCGCGGTGGTTGCACTTCAACAACCCGTACGATGTCGGAGCTGTGGTCGTCCAGCATGAAGTCGATGTTTCCTCGCTCGTGGACATGCTCACGAAGAAAACATCCAGCTCGAAGAGATGTGGCGCGAGATTGGAGATGATTGTCGAACGAACTCTTGTAAAATCTCCAGAGAGGCCATAGACCGATGACTGCAGCAGTCTCGCATCTGCTGCAGCAGCAGTACAAGTTTCAGCTTTCGTTTCTGCGTATAGTCGCGCATGAACGCGCGGTTAAACGTCTCGCAAGGACTATTAGTAGTCGCGAACCCAGAAGGTGTAAGGTAACATTGCCACCCACTAAAGTTTCCTTTAAGCCATTGCTTGCTCATATATGCCCTGAAATCGTCCAGCTCACGATGCTTGCTTCACTCAAACAGCATCCGCTCCTTCCGCACCGTATACTCTTCCTTCGTGAGCGAAATGTGAAGATCATAGATACCAGTATACATCATAGCCACCACATCCCCATGTAGCGCACGCGCCCGTTTTTTGAGAGCCAGTCGTACTTTGGCAATGGCATGGTAAAAGCACATGAGGTACGTGAGCGTGCAGTCGATACCAAACACACTTTGAACTGCGTTGAATTGAGCCTGGCCAGCGTCGGCCATTACATATTGCGCATTCATTCGCTCGCCTGTCACCGGCGCGTATACCGTACGCAGAGCAGCACAGCGTCGACAAAATGGCGCTCTTCCAACTGCGAAGTAATGAAGAGAGCCAACAAGTGAAAAGTTCGGGAGCCATCCGAGAGTCCGCAGACGATGACCGGGTAGCTGACTTGGTCAAGCTGGAACGTGGCATCCACATGCAGAATAACCGAAGGCGGATCGCGTTTGGCCGATCGCAAGAGAGCCTTCGTTGTGACTCCAACAACAAATGGGCGTGCGTCTGATCCGTCGCCGGCAACGCACTTGCCACTGGCATCGTTGTCTTGCGTGAATGAGAACACGTCATGCTTATCTTCGCGTCCTGTAAATGATGCAGCAGCAACATGGGCAGCAACGTCGCCGACGTGATCGTTACCACCGAGTTTTGTTCTGCGATAGTGGCTCACGCAATTTTGTACCTTCCGCAGTTCTGGTAAATTTTCGAGGCTCCGTTCAAATTTTCGGGTCATTGCATGTAGAATACGGAGAGGCGTCAAATTTTCACGAGTCATGGCGTGAATAAATAGCTGTTGGGCCCTCGTAATCGAAGGTTTCCTGCTTGGAATAGCGGCCGAGAAGTGCTTACCAAGCTCACTCATGTATACGGACTTGACTTCTTGGCAGACCAGCATCTTGGCACCCCACGGGCACTTAGAGAACGGAGCTACTACCTTACACTGCTTGCAGGCACAGCGTAAAATCTTGTACCTCATCGAGTGAGGAGTTGCAGAAGCGCACACAGTACACGGCATGAGTTGACTTTTGCTAGTCTTGAAGGCTTTCATGCTAAGCAACAAAAGATCGGCATCTTCTTCGGAGAGTTCACAACAGATCAGTTGCCAGGCGCGTGGGGAGGGCATGGTGAAGAGAGGTGGGGTCTGGAGAAGGTGGGTGCTTTCGAGAGAATTCTAAAGTGAGATATAACCGCCCGCTGCAGACTTGTTTCTACCAAAGAAATTACTGTGTCCAATAATTGGGTGATGTGCTATCACATTATTTAGTGTGCAGGACCATAGTTTGTGGTGCTAATCGTTATCTCGTTGTGCCAACCTCTGGTTATTGTGGAGCTCATACATTTGTTGTGCTGGTCAGCCTCTGTCTTTGCAGAATGACTTTTGTGGGATCGAGTTCGTTGAATGATTATACGTTTGCTCTCTCTTAATTTAGCTGCCTGTGAAATATAACGTCGGGAAGACCATATTGGTCATTTCGACGCAGGAAGAGACCGCCAGACTGTAGAACGAGCGTAGGCAGGTGCCTGAAACCTCGCAGGGTTCTTTCAGTGTGCATGTAGACCCCCATGAGGTTGTGATGCTCTATCAGGACTAAGGAATAGCGCGGCACATAGTCCAGATTACAACATCTGCTAAGGTGTAATTGTTCCAAAAGTCCTCGACAATTGCGGGATTTTGCCAGCGTGGTAAATATCCACCGCATCAGAATTGGTTGAAATGATCCATTTATCAACCAATCCGGAGTCACCATTTGGTCTCAGATAACCGACACTATGTCGTCACTGTGCGACCAAGACACGGAGCTGGCTGCTGGTGAGCGCACACGAGAGTCATGGGAACCACAGCAAGCCCAGGAATGCCAAAGACTAGAGCATCGGAGCTGGATCTGCTTCTTGGAGATGAGGTAGAGGATGTCGCCAGTTATGACGCAGTGGACAAAGCCATCGCTCTGTCGGTCGGGGAGATCCAAGCCCCCGACGAAGAGCTCACGACACGTGGCTTCAGGTACGCTATGCACTTGTATATGACGAAAGAATGATTTGCTGATGTGTGTGTCTCTTTGTGTTGTAGCTGGAGGACATTATGGGCGTATGCGGGCCCCGGTTGGCTCATGAGCATCGCGTACGTGGACCCAGGCAACTTGGAGAGTGACTTACAGGCTGGTGCATACGCTGGATACCAGCTCACATGGGTGTTATTTGGCGCGACGGCAATGGGTTTATTCCTACAAATTCTGGCTGCTCGACTGGGCGTCGTGACGGGCAAAAACTTGGCTGAAATGTGCACCGCCGTGTATCCTCGCTGGGCTTCGTTGACGTTGTGGATCATGACGGAGATTGCAATCGTCGCGAGTGACGTCCAGGAAGTGCTGGGTTCGTCTATTGCATTCCAGGTGCTCTTCGGCTTCCCGCTATGGGTCGGCTGTCTGATTACGGGGTTCGACACCTTTACGTTCTTGTTACTGCATCGTTACGGTATCCGTAAACTCGAAGCCTTCTTCGTGTCTCTAATCATCGTCATGCTCGTGTGTTTCTGTGCCAATTTGGTACGTGGAGATGTCGCGTCGGAAGATGTAATGCGCGGCTTCGTGCCTCGTGTGGATCGCTACGCTGTGACGCAAGCCGTGGGTATCCTGGGCGCTGTAATCATGCCACACAACATCTTTCTGCACTCCGCACTCGTCCAGACTCGACAAGTGAATCGACATGACGGACGGAAGGTGCGCGAAGCCAACAAATACTTCGCCATCGAGTCCAGCTTCGCACTGTTTGTGTCGTTCTTAATCAACTTGGCGGTACTCGCAGTCTTCGCCAAGGGATTCTTCTCTTCCGACTGCACAACTTCCTACGACACGGATGGAGTCAACACGGCGTGTGTTCCTGGCGCGATTGCTCATGGAGATACATACGGCTCTTGTCATCTTGCGAGTGGAGGAGAGGGAATGTGTCAGGAGATTGGCTTATCTCAAGCTGGTGTTGCACTTAGCGGGATGCTGGGGCAGTATGCAGATACGATCTGGGCTATTGGTCTGTTGGCAGCTGGACAGAGCTCCACGATGACGGGAACGTACGCGGGTCAATTCGTTATGGAAGGGTTTCTACAACTCCACTTGTCTCCGTGGAAGCGTGTGGCTCTGACACGGTGTGTGTCACTCGTTCCTGCCATGACTGTAGCCATCTTGAGCCAGGAAAACCCCGCAGATAGCGACCACATGGACGAGTTGCTCAACGTGCTGCAGTCCATTCAGCTGCCGTTCGCGTTGCTCCCCGTGTTGATCTTCACCAGTTCGTCGGAGATCATGGGCGACTTCGCCAACAGTAAAGCCACAGTAGTGACGGGCTGGCTGCTTGGAGGGCTGGTGTGTGTTATCAACCTGTACTTGCTGTTCACCAACCTCGAAGGACTCGCGCTCGGAGTGATTGGACTCACAGCGCTAGGAGGCACTTGCTGTCTGTACTTCGGCTTCTTGGGGTATCTCGTCCGAGCCGACATGACGCTCTCCGCGCAACGCGCACGCACGGCTTCAAGTTCGCGACGCATATCGCAGGACATTTAACGCACCAAAAACTCCAAACGATACTCTTTGTCTCTAAATATCGGCTTTAATTGGTAGAAAATGCGAGATGTCTGCATCTTCACTCGGCGTAGTTGCGTCCATACGTGTCGACGCGCCTTTTCCGGCGTCTCATGGCTTTCTTGGCTCTCTTCTTCCACACTTTCAGCAGTTTGTTTGCTCTGTCCTGTACCTCCGGAGATTCAGCGCGTCTCGAGATCCTCGTGAGCGCAGCACCTACGCGTGTCTTCTCCAGCATTTCGAGAGATATGAAGAGCTGCTCCAATGCGTCCAGGATGCTCAGCATGTTGGCGGCGGTCTTGGCATCGTCTAGCTCCTCCTTCAGGTACTGAACGCGCTCCTCTGAAACCACTTTGTGTCCATGGTGGATGGTGGTCTGTCGCTGTCGTTTCTTCTGCGACGCAAGCGGTGGCGCTGCATCCGCCAGCGAGGCCGCCAACGCCGCCGCCGCGTTTCCGCGTAGAACAAAACCATCCATACCTAAGCGAGGCAAGTGCTGCTCATTCCGGTGGAAAGATGGCTTCATATCGACGTGTACCACATCGACTCGTTTGCGCATTCATGCACTTTCCACCAATCACATCGCGACTATTATACACATTAATTTGGGACAGAAACAATTAAGCTTAAAAATAGTGACTACGTACTGCAAAGACTGTTGAGGACGTGCGTGGCTTGCGGGTCTGCATGTTGAACGTCATTATCCATTTGACAAACTACGGCTCAAGTGCAGCCTCTTTACAATGTCGGGCAAGACGTACAAGATTGCGGTGCTGCCGGGCGACGGCATCGGCCCTGAGGTGTGCGACCAGGCCGTGCAGGTGTTGCAGACAGTCGGCGAGCTGTTCACGCACCAGTTCGCCTTCACCACTGCGCTGTGCGGAGGCGCCGCCTACGAGGAGCACAAGACGCACCTGCCGCAGTCCACTGTTGACACGGTGGCGACTTCGGACGCTGTGCTCTTCGGCTCCGTGGGCGGCCCCACGGACGCGCAGGAAGATCCCAAGTGGAAGGACGCCGAGAAGAACTGTCTGCTTGGACTGCGTAAGAACTTTCAGCTGGCTGTCAACATCCGCCCGGCGAAGATCTACTCCATGCTGCCGGACCTGTCGCCACTGAAGCCTAGTATCATCGCTAACGGCGTGGATATGGTCATTGTGCGCGAACTCGTGTCGGGCATCTACTTCGGCGAGCACAACACGAACGGGGACACCGCCACGGACGTCATGAAGTACACGGAGGCGGAGGTGCGTGTCACTGCAACTCCAAGAAGCCATGAGCTGGTAACTGATGTTATTGCGTACTGTTTGTGACCATTAGATTGCCAAACCCATGCGATTCGCCTTCGAGACGGCCATGAACGTACGTTGCTTCAACTACTCTCGCTATTAATATTTAGACGGATAGAACTGCTTCTGAGTGATTAATCTGCTGCTGCTACAGCGTTCGAAGCGTCTGACCGTCGTGGACAAGGCCAACGTGCTGGACTGCAGTCGACTGTGGCGCAAGGTCGCCAAGGACGTGGCTAAGGACTACCCGAATGTTCAGTTTGACTTCATGTGCGTACTATTTATCGAGCCATTAATGAGTGATGGTGACAATCATTCTGACAATAATTGCCCCCCCCCCCCTTTAGGTACATTGACAACGCTGTGATGCAACTGATCCGCAATCCGTCGCAGTTCGATGTGATCGTGACCGGCAACATGTTCGGTGACATTCTGTCGGACGCCGCGTCGGTGCTACCTGGCTCGCTGGGTCTCATGCCCTCGGCCAGTCTGGGCGACAAGGTCCACCTGTTCGAGCCTATTGGCGGCTCGGCCCCTGACATCGCCGGCAAAGACTTCGCCAACCCAATCGCTCAGATCCTGTCGGCCGCGCTGCTTCTGCGTTATTCGTTCCAGATGGAGACGGAGGCTCAGCTGATCGAGACGGCTGTGGAGCAGGTGCTGCTGGACGGCGTGCGCACTGGAGACCTGACCAAGGACCAGGACGCTGTGGTCGGCACAAAGGCGATGGGCGCTGCTATCGTCGCCAAGATGAAAGCGCTGCGTCAGTAAGCAGATAGAATGCCGTCACATGAATTGAAGGCACATATTTTACTGTATTTTGTGGGGTTCATATTGCTCTTTTTTTTTTACTCTAATCAGTGCTCTAAACTTTAAAAGGTATGGTGTTCACTGTCGAAGTCGACGAGGAGTATTTGAAGACCTGTCCTGACCCCCGAACGTCCTCTTTAGCCACCGCTGAAACCTTTGTAGGACGCCGTTGTTATTGTACTTGGTCACCGTCACCATTCTGCTGTCTTGATCTTTCTTCCTCGGGATAGGGGGATTGTTTCCGGCGGCATGTCCTCCTACCACTGCTGCCGCTCCTCGCTCTTCCTCAAGTGGCCACTCCGCATTTGACTTGCGATCTTTCTTTTGCTTGCTTGGTTCGACATGCTCAAACGATTGCAACTTGCGAGCGATGTCAGATGGTGCGACCTCGTTGTGGTGGGAGGCAGCACAATTGGAGCTTGCAAGCAAGATAACCAAAGTAATAACTAGATGCAACACGACTTGAGCAAGGCACATCTTATCTTGAGAAGACTGCCAGCAACGTTGCAGAATCTAAAATGGTTGTGGATGAGCTGCTCTTTGGTAGACTTGGTCGAGGTGTGTACGGTACGCGTGTTGCGCCGTACATTTCCAGCCCAAACATCCTACAGGTACAGGTCGCCGCACGGGAACTCACAATCATGGCGTAGGATTTATTACCCAGATTCTGGGTGGACTCGTGCCTCCACTTGTGGTGGTCGGTGGAGGTGAATGCCCTTTGGAGACTCCAACGGGAACACCAATGATTATGGTTAACTCCCATCCGATCTTAACATCATCGTCGTGGGGTCGATGGCAGCCGGAACGTCGGAACAGAAGTGTACAGATGAATCCTTCGGTATTAATAGTAAGGGCCTGTTTCATTTGAGAATGGCACGTGTTACTGCACCCATCTGAGAGAATCAGAGACGAGCCATCGTGCCCATTTGTGACCACCCGTACCCATCTGACACCCATCCACGACCACTTGGTGCCCATCTGAGCCCATCAGGTTGTTGATGATTGTCGAGATATACGTGTGTAATGTGTATATCCGGAAGTGAACCTGCCTGCATCGTCCTCTCTCTGTCAGCCCACATTAACACATCGCCACACATTGTCATCATGATTGCTACCGAGTATTTTAGCATTTGGGTCACAAGTAAGACTGTCGGAATCTCAAGCAGGCGCACCCATCCAGCATTGAACAAAGGTTCGCATGACATTAAAATCTTCTCAAAGCTATTTTACGTGCACATACTAAGGTATCGGTAGCGCAGGTGCTGGAGGGTTTTTTTTTTCGACGAACCCAGGCGAGTCCGTGCCACTAAAAATTTCGAAGGTGGCCAGAACATAGATGCCGCAGCTGTAGCTGTCGGTCTGGACGCCGAGCGTACTTGTGTATGGTTGGACACGGCCAGTGCGCGACTGCAAAGATGGAACCATTGACTTGATCTCTTGTGTAGCAGCACGAAGCCCCACCTTGTAGCTTGAATCCATCGGGTCGTAGTAGAATAGTTTATGCTCTGTGAAGTCGACCATGATCGAGCTCCAGTGGTTGCCGTAGCAGCTGACCGGGATCATCGCGCGCTCCACGGAGAACGCTTCGAGACCGTCGCGATCCACCACGACGTCACTGCCTAGATTCACGCTTACCAAGTTTGCATTTCCTAGGATCCTCGTTGGATCTGAGCCGAAAAGTTTGGTCATCAACGTGGTCATGGTGTCTTCGCTCAAGCACCCGGTCGCGGCGAGATCTAGCACTTCCATCTGTAGAGCATTACAAAATTAGAAGCTTGTGGTTAGTGTTATATAGCCCAGCCAAGCTTACCTCCGAAGACAACAGCCGGAGCGATTCGATCTTGTCGGTCAGCGATGGATCCTCCTCTGCTTGGAAATGGGGACCAACGGCCAGAGTCAGGTTTACCGTTGGAATCCTGTCGAACGGCCGCAATTGCACGATGGTATTGTTTCATGATGGCAAGCGTAGCCGTCGACAAAAACCCCAAACCTGGGATCTCCACAGTAATATCACGCTCCGCGAGGCCTTTCGTCTTCCTTTGGAGTGCCACGACCTTGGTTCCACCTTTGTTGAGCATAACCTTCGGGAGTACGCGGATTAGGTCGTGTGGTTCAATAATAGTCTTGGAGGCTGGTAATTTCGCATGCGTGTCTGCTGACCAGGTTCGCGACTAGTGACATCTCTCTGTCATACTTGGGATTGTGCACCATACCGACCTTGGTAGCTTTAGCATCGAATGCACGCTCTACGCGAACCTGGTAGCAGATAAGGGAGGCTACACACTCGTCTAAAGCCATGAAACTGTTCATCGTGTCCTTCAAGTGCTTCCACGACGATTCCAGCCGGTTATTGGTGTTGTTTCCCATCGTCACAGCGCTTTGACGCTCATAGGTGGCCCACATCTCCTTGCAGTTGTCCCAGCTCTTGTGGAAGTATGCCTCAAACGGATGAGTCTCGGCATCATCAGCTGGTCCATCTAGATGGTTTGGGATGGTTAAATTACCGTCGGTGCCCAGCTGAGCACCATCTGCACGGGGAATAACTGCGGCCCGTGCAAAGCTGCCGCCCCTGTCCGCGCTGGTCTCGCGACGCGAAGACTCCATGCCAATTGAGAGTATGTGGCGCATGTATTCCCGATGCTTGAAGAATTCACGCTCCGTCGTCGCGTACACCATTAACGAAATCACGCTCCGCAACCGAGCTTTCTGCCACGGCGACAGACCATACTCGGAGGACGCTAGCTGTACACGGAGGTACTTGAGCACGTGGAACTGACATAGGAGAATGCGGACACCGGGGAACGCAGCCTTAAGGACAGCCATCTCGGTGAAGTCCTTGTCGATGACCACGCACTGCAACTTGGTCCAGAAAGGTGTGCGTTAATTTAGACCACCATATTATTCACAGACGAACGCCATCATACCTTATCTCCGCGGTTATCCACGAAGATGCATCATATGTTACCGGGCTCCTCTCTGAACTCTGTCAGCCATGTCTTCAGCCGCACCTTGCTCATCGTCCCTGCAGTTTCTCTCTCTTTCAGCTTGCGGACGCGATTATGCACGTCACGAATCTCCACACTGTTGTCCGCATTCTCGAGGATGTACTCGAGGATCCGTTTCTTTTTAGCCCCTGCCTTGCGAAGAATGTCAGCCGTATCCATTACACGAGTTGGAAGAGCAGTGCGCACGGACGCGTACTGCTGATGGTCATCCGGTCGAGCCTGTGGTTGTGCGCTAGCTTTGCAGTTGTCATACACAGGGCAAATTCGGGGTCGTCGGGCTTGTTGTTAATCACACGGACGCATGCGTTGATCTGGCATACATACAGATGCATTGGTCGATTTTGAGCATGCGTTACCCATCTGTGCCAATCAAT